TGGCAAGAGGACACATGTTGCAATTAAAATCTTTTATAATAGTATAAGGCACACCTTTCAAATGATTCATTCTTACAGGTGAACAATGTCCTAGCCTATTGTGCCATAACAACGATAAGTGGTGATCGCGGTTTACACAAATATGGTATACTGTACTTGGCTTATTTGAATGAAATGAATTTGAGTTGAGGTAATATAGGCCATTTGCCACGCTTCCAATAGCAATAGTCTCCTTACTCAGCAAATCCTCCAAGATACATTCGTCAAGTAAAGAATTAACTGAAATCAAGCATGTTTTGGCTAGAGTATTCACAGAAATCAGATTACATCTAAATTTGAGTACAAAAAGTGTATTGAACAAAGTGATTCTACGATGTAAGGTTATGTCTCCAATAGGTGTCATAATTTGAATTGAGCCATCTGGTAATTTAACTATTTTGGGTTTCTGTAATTTAGTTAAGGTGTGAACAAGGTTGGGTCATTGGTCATGTGATCTGTAGCCCCTATATCAACAATCCAATTTCCCTTATACTTACTAGTAGTACCAACAGATAAACAAATGGATTCATTACCTGCAAGACCCGAGCTATGACTAACATTGGCTGCTTCATCAGTGATATGTTGTACAGCTTTGCCCTTTAGTGCTTTTAACAATTCCCGCTGCACTATTCTTGAAATGTTCTCATATGAGCTCTCAATATTCTCAGAAAATTTGGAAGGGATAATGTCAAGAGGTGTATCTTCTGACTGATTCACAACATTAGCTTGAGATTTATCCCTTTTTTGTTGGTACTCATTGAACCAATCAGGATAGCCATGCAGTTTAATGCAGATATCCTTTGTGTCGCCCATTCTTACAATATTCACAATACCTCTCATCCCTCTTCTTTTGAAAATTTCTTGAATCTCTAGTAGTACCCCTCCTATGATTGTTATTTCTCTGTACATTCATAGCTGAAGTTGTCTCGCTGGACTCATTAAACATAGAGTGGACTTCCTTTTGTTTCTCGACGCTCATTATCATTGAATAAGCCTTATTGACATTAGGAAAGTGTCCATCAATAGAATTTGATTTTTAATGTGTTCATACTATTCATTCAGCCCCATTAAAAATTGAATGAGCCTATCTTCATTCTCCATGTCCATCAAAATTTTGGAAACACCATAATCGCAGGTTGGCAATTGTCTAAGGCAATACAATTCATCCCAAAACTTCTTGAGTTTTGTAAAATAAACCATAATAGACATGTTTCCCAGTTTAAAGTTTGTTGTATCGTGCTAAATTTGGTAAAGCAATGGTCCATTGCTCTCTCCAAAATGCTGTAACAACTCATTCCAGAGATCAAAAGCACTAGTAGTATAAAGAAATGCCTCAACAATTTCCTTAGAAATTGAATTGAGCATCTAGGATATAACCATGCTATCAACACGTAACCATTTCTCATAGTAAGGAGAATTAGGATATGGTTTAGGGATTTTACTATTGATGAATCACAGTTTATCCTTGGCTTTGAGAGCAATCACCATAGATCGGCTCCAAGGAAGATAGTTCATGCCGTTGAGAGGCACGCTCACCAAAGTCAGATTGGGATGGTCTACGGTCATGAGACCCAAAGCAGCTTCGTATTCATTTGCAGTAACCATTAAGGATGATTTTCAAGAAAACGTGAAAAAAGAATCGAAGAAGAACAATCGCAAGAGAAATATGAAGCAATTCAAATGAGCTCAGATTCAAGCTCTGATACCATGAACATATTCAATGGAAGATATAGCAGAAAAATGATTCTCAGTATATTAATAATGACGGTTATAAAATTCTATTATCTGAGCTCAAGGAGGATGGAACCTTTTATATACAGCTATTGTTATTTTAGAATTTTCTCCTAAATTGTTAAGTCCCAACATATGAGCTATGTGTTTGACGCCACGTCATTACAAGCTTACCAAAAATAAATTAAAACTAACCATAACAGTGATATAATTTACAAGTTAGAGAGCGAAATTGAAAATGTTTCCGCAAATTGAGAGATAAGAGAGGACCTGGGCTTTGCCTGAGGTAGGTTGGAATTGATGAAGAGGAGAAATTATGTGGGTTATGTTAACATATAAACGCAGCGTTTTATAACTTATCTGTGGTTGCTTGCTTTTAACTCTAGCTGTTTTGGTGGGATTCATGTATAATATTATTTTATTTATTTGTAAAGGACATATTTAAATTAGGAATTCAATTATTACAAAAGTTAGAAATTGGAATGTACAGGAGGTTAATTTAAAAATAGTGTGCAATTATATCTAAATGTAAACTTGACCGTATTTTTAATGGTTTACTCAAAAGAAAATAAGGAGATAAAAAAACAAATTAGTATGGTATTTTTAGTAATACAGATATCTGTGAACAAAAACAAAAATACTCATACATCAAGATCTAATCTTTAGCCAACAAACAACAACCGAAAAGAAAGAACTAAACGCAATCAAAACTTTCGAAAGAAAAAAAAAAAAAGAGAACTAATTTTATTAAATGATCCCACAAATAAATATGTACATTAACCCAAAACAGATTGCACATTAACATTATTGTCTTGTATAAACAATTGCTATGAAGCTCATCAACATTAATCTAACCTATAATCCCATGCCTGCAAAAACTTCCTTTAAACTTCACAGATTGGGCTTCTGTTTGAGTTCATGTTTGAAGCATTAGAGGTTGAATTAGCATGGAAAGCAGATTGTCTTGAAGACCCTTCAAGCAATTTTAAGGAAAGAGAAGGGGCCAATAGAGTGTCCTACCTTCTGCCGACAAGTGCAATTTCACATCTTGCACTTCATCAGGTGGAAAGTAGTGGTTTTGCAGGAGATATTTCCTCTTTGGCTGGCATAAATGGATGTTTGATATAGGACAGAAAACGGAGTGGAGAGAGAGAGTATAGGATAGACAAATTAATTGTTCTGGTGAGATGAGAGAAAAATGAATCTGACACATCATAACTGAGGTGGCCAAAAACACGATTTTTAATTGACCCTGGCTAGCCATGTCACGTGTCCGACTATTTTTTCAGAAAGAGTCACTTTTGCGTTATATTAGTACCCTCCAACTTGAGGGACACGAGTGAAAATAAGCCATTCATAAGGGAAGGAGAAAGTTGTTCCTTGAGAAAGATGATGCCTCTCACTTGTATTGTCCAACATCACTCCGTATTTCCACCTCCTGTGCACCCTTAACTTTTGCTTTCATCCATAAAATATTTCAAGTCATAATTTAAACACCTCAACGATTAGTGTCACAATGTTTTTCTATCAAAGTTCAGTTGTTAAATAACATTTTCAGCCCACCAATACGGATTTGTAACATTTTTTTCACCATATTTTAACACATCCATAGAGAAGAGAGACCCATTTTCAAGTAGTATCTACTTCGACATAGATCCAGTTCACAGCCACCCATTTTGGGTTTGACGTGGGAGGAGCTTGTTCTCCTCGTTTCTTTTTGAGCATGAGGAGAAATTTAATGAGTTTCTGCCCAAGCGTCACGTATGCACTCAAGTTAATGGAATGTAATATCATCAAAAGCATTTCTCTAATGTAAGATAATACATAAACAAGAAATACGTTTGATTAGATTGTACTACATTTTATTTCATTGCTCAACTGATCAAACGGAGCCTTACTATTAAAATAAGCTGAGCTTTTTAGCTATTATTAACATTTCAATCTAGACAGCAATTTACACAGCACTTTCAACAGCAAGAGAGTTCAATTGGTCACTAATAAAGCTGGGCTCTATTTAACAAAATAGAACTTTTAAGGATCTAGTGATGCTAGAAGGGCTATCTATCTACAGGCATATTGCACTCGGTTTCAATTTACCAATTTATAGAAAACAATTCCTACGAAGCAAAAATCTCAACCAAGCAATAACCTGAAATACAATGGCTGCTGTCGTGCTACAACAAGAGTAGAAGAAAGACATCCCTATAAAGGAGCAGTAATTATTTATACACTGAGCAAACCATATAGAAATGCATCAATCATCATAAATCTGAAGAAATATGACCACCTACTAAATTAGAAACTTAAAATTAAGAATAAATTTACAACAGTCACAAAAAAGAAGCTTTAACATGAATCTATTCATAACCAATGCACAAACAGTTTTGAGTGAGCAGACTCCATGAGCTCCTTTTAAATTGAAGTCCATAATGAACCTTATCTACAAAACAATCAGTAACTTTATGCATACAAAAACATGACTCGCCAATACAACTAGAAAATAAACCATATTTGAAAAAAAAAAAATGCCTAAATTTATCCAAAAGTAAGCTTTTGGATCGATTTTAACAGAAATTCCCAAGTACCCATTTCCACCTTAAAGGCCAAAGTGGTTTCCTAAGTGAAAATTCTTAAAATCGATTAAAAAGATCAATTTTTAGGTATATTGTACATCGCAATCAAGTTGAGGCAATTTGATCGGTATTCCATGCCAATAAGAGGAGAACTACATAATAGACATCCACATGGAAAATCAAATTAAAAGAGGAAGAAGATATGCTAGCAAAGCCATTCTCTCTTGCTTCATTAATAGCTTAGCTTAAAGTTTCTGCCAAAAAAGGAAAAGTATAGCTTAAAGTTTCTCATCCACAATCATACACAACATATAATCATCATTTGCAGTTGACATAAAATAAATAAAATAATCAGATTTCCAGATAATAACGAATGTGTCTCTAAGCTTCTCCAATAATAGCCACTTCCAGATAATAACGTATGTGTCCCTAAGCTTCTCCAATAAACCCACAACCCACTTCTGATCGAGAACAGCTAAAATCAACAATGGATGAAGGAAAAGAATATACGCAACCGACACTGGGTTATCTCTACCAAGCAATAACAGCTCATGCATCATTAATATAACAACAAGGGCCTCATGTACCAGTTCATCAAGTTGAGAAAAGCAAAATTCAAAACCAATATACAACTTGTGCTGATTCTAATTAAAAAAGTTTGAGGCAAGTAATAGAAGGCAGTTTTTCCATTTCTTTTTTCATGGTAAAATTTATCATTGAAGGACAGATAGGTTCCATACCATTCTTGACTGAAAGTTGAAACCCAAACATAAGAACCCCAAGGCCCCCATTCCTCCTAAGAATAAAAATCTAACCCATCATATGAAAAATTACAAAAAAAGGATCGAAGAAAAAAAAAAACTAATAACAACAGCAATAACAATAGCAACAAAAGGGGAAAACCAAAATCAAAATAAATCATGAGATAATAATATATTTTGAAAAAAAAAAAAGGGGGGGTGGGGGGTGGGGGAAGAAAAATAAAAATAAAAAAACTACGAAGAAAGAGGTCGTGGGGGAGGCAACAGTTGATGTAGACTTTGATTCACCTCTCTATTCCTTAATATAAAAGGATGATTTAATAGCTGAACTGCCGTCCATCTCCTAGCCGGTTCCCTCTGCAGACAACAAGAAATAAAATGGTGGAAATCCCTGGAAGCGGTGGGTGGTGCTTCCGGTGGCTGTGACATACAAATGGCACACATCAAGCTAGCCCAATCGCCTTGTCTTCCAACAGCAAAAGGAAATCTCCCTAAATAAAATTCCAATATACTAACCCCTAAACTCCAAATATCCCCTGCATATCCATCATATTGCCCATGATTCAAGTCTGTGTTAATCCTTTCAGGACTCATATAAGCAATAGTTCCAACAGATGAATCGCAAGGATCCATTGTCTGTGCCAAAATCCTACTTACCCCAAAATCTGCAATTTTCACATTCTTTTTCGAATCAATTAACAGATTCGAAGGCTTTATATCTCTATGCACTATTTTCCTTCGATGAAGATAAGCAATACCACTCAAGATTTGACGGGCAACATCCGATAGGCGGGCCTCATGCCCGATACGGGCCCCTTCTAGAGATCCGCCGTCCATGAATTCTAATAAAACTTGGATCTCACCGCCATGTTCGTAAAATTCATGGCATCTCACCACGTTAGGATGGTTGACGCCGCGGAGAATATCGATCTCGCGGCAGATCTGGTTCCGAACAGAATCCTCGTGGTGGTTTCCATATATCACTTTTAGGGCGAAGAGCCTACCCGTAGGACGGTGGACCACTTTGTAGACGGTACCGCCACTGCCGTTCCCTATTCGGTTGATTCGATCCAGGTCAGAAAAGCTTAGTTGTCGAGTTTGAGTTTGTTGATGACTTGTTGATGGAGCGGAGCTAGATGTTGGAGGCAGAGGTAAAGGGACAGCTAGTTTGGGGTCTCGTTGCGGTAAGGGTAGCGTCAAGTCCGGCCGCCTTCGCGGACGGCTTCGATTACCGTTGGCGTTGGCGTTGGCGTTGCCAGTGGCCATAGCTGGTGGTGGCTGAATCGGTTTCATGACTGGGTAAAGATTTGAATGAATCTGATCAACAGTTTCTAGGGTTGTTTTAATTTGGGGGTCAACAATGATGAATGATGATCATCGCCGTCTAATAGGGCTGTTTGATTTCTTCTTCTTAGGAAAAATACAAGCCATAGAAAGAAAGAAAGAAAATAGGAAGAAAGTTCTTGGAAGTGAGAGGAGAGGAGAAAGAAAGCAGAAGGAAAATATTGAGGGAGAAAATAGAGAGCTAATATGATCTGTGACTGCCCTTTTTGTAATATGAGAGACAGAAATAAACCACTCAAAAATATTATAAAAAAAATAAAAACAAATGAAGTTCATTTTGAGGAGAGAGATTTTAAGGGTATACAGAAAGAAACACGCGCTTTGTTTATGTGTGAACTACAAACATTAACAGACGATATATCGACATTATGGTTTGGTGGGTATAGTTAAGGATCTTCATCAAAATGCCTAAATCTCAAAAAACCAAATCAAATTCATTCGAATCCATTTAAAGCCGCAATCTTAAAAAATTGATGCTTAATTTAGTTTTATAAAATTTAAAATCAAACTTTTTATTTGGTTTATAATTTTTATATCAAAATCGCCGAGACCGAAACATATCATCATATATATTATATTATATGTGAGCAAATATTATTTTTTTATAATTTTTAATAGTAAATATAAAAATAAATGAAAATTTAAATTTTATATTTAATTAACATCTTATTTAACATATAACTTTTTTAAACCATACTAAGAATAAAATATAAAAAATTTAATTTAAAAATTTTCAATAGCTACTTAAAATTATGTATATTTTTATTTGCATAGTTTATAATTATGTATATTTTATAGCTTAGTTTGTATTAATTCATTTCTTATATTTAGTATAATGTTAATTTCTTTTTTTCTTATTAATTAGATAAGTACGGAAGTCTAATTTATTTTCTTTCAAGCCATCCAAATCGCATACTAAACCGAACCAAGTCAAAATGCAATAAAGATTTAATTTAGCTTGAAATTTGAATAATTTAATTTGGTTTTAATTTTTCCAAACTATCATTTTAGATTTGATTTAATTATTATATTCAAATCGAACTAAATCAATCCACCAACAATCCTAGATATAGTATATCTACGATTTTATAATAGTCAATTTTGATTTAAAGTTCTATTTGACAACAGCTTTTCACAAAACATTTATGCTTTGACTTGATTGACACTTTAATTATTATTTATAATGTTCAGTATTATAGCGTTTTTAAAGTTTGAGGGAATATATTATTAACACAATTAAAAACTAATTTGCTTTTAGAACTTTCGATTTTAATTTTTAGTAAGAATGAAATCAAAATCGAATTGCAGTTATGTGATTTTGAAATTAAAAGTTATGATTTTCTATAAAAAATCAAACCATGTTTTTCTTTGCCTTTTTTAAATTTTTTCTTGAAATTGTTTTTTTGTAGTCTGTTACCATAATAAAACAATAGTAAGTAGTATTATTAAAAAAAGATTAACAAAATTTAATAAAAAAATCTTCAATTTTATTTAAAATTTATAACAAAAATAGAAAATAAATTTAAGCTTTTTTTATGATGTTTGGTCTTACAATCTTAAACCAAACCAAATTAGCGATTCTATTATAAAAATTGAGAAACCGAAACATAATCATAATACACAAATGTTAATTACGAGTTAATAATTTCGATTTAAACTCAGTTTGATTCTCAATTTAAAAATAATCGGTGATCATGGAAGCAGACCGGGTAAAGCTGCACGCGCCTGAGCGGTGACTCACGGGTAAGGGTAAGGCATACACATTGGTCATGTCGTGAGCTATACATTGGGTTTGTTGTGTTGTGATTTCTCAAACTATTTATGTAATGTCACACTTCCTTTCTCACGTTGACATTTTATGAGCATTGAAACAAGTTTTTCTCTTTGTATAATATTATTATGTGCATTAAACCTTAATTCTTTCTTTAGCATGTCAAAGTATAATTAGTCGTGGAGTCTTAATATTTTTTTCTTTCTTTAATGTTTTATTTTTATTCTAACTTCTTATATACAATTTTTAATAATATCATTGATATTATTAATTTCATTAAGTATTAGAAAAATAGAAATCTAAAGTTTTATTACTTTGAAAAGTATTAATAATATTATTAATTTATTAGTTATTTGAAAAAGAAACAAGGCTCAGCAACAACCACAGTATGACCTCCTCTTTATATAAAACTCCATTATACAATTTATACAATAGAATCTTGACTTGATCAACGAGAAATGATTCAACAACAAATAGGAGAATGATGGTCAAAACAGTTACTAATATATATATATATATATATATTAATATCGAGGGAGTGTGATTCCAACCTAGATCTATTGCTAGACCTATATGCACTTACTACTAAACTATACTTTGGTGTGCTAGATAGTTACTAATATGAACAATAAAGTTGTTAGTATTATATAATGTGCTTGCCATGCATTACATTGATGCGGAAACAAAACTATGTTGTCTATGCCTACACATTACCTAAATACCATATAGTAGATATGCAAGCTCAATATATAAATTTATCCATGTACTTTATCCGAAAAATCTTGTGGCACCCTTAATTTTTAGTTTGATATGTTGAACATTTCAACTTATAAAAATTATACTTATTAAATTTTTTAACTTGCAAAAATTATTCTATTGAACGCTCGAACTTGTAAAATTCGATCGATTAAATACTTATTGGATAATTGAAAACTGTGAAAATTATTATTCTAAAAATTATACTAGTCACACATCAAGTGAATATTTTGCACAATTAAATTCAAAAATAACTCAAAATTATTATTACTAGTATGGATAAGAGTACAATGTTACCAAAATTCATAACTTCAGGAGGCATAATAGATCCCTCACAAAGTTTAGGGTACCACAAAACATGTTGTAACACGTGATTTATAACAGCTTCGACAAAATCAAATGCATATATTCTAGCAGCTGTTATTTACTTGTATTTTGAATATATGGTTTTTTTTTTATCCATACTTAATCTTAGGATTTTTTTTTTAGTTTTGTTTGTTTAAGTTGTATCTATGAAAGAATTTACTGCTCTCTTTGAATTATACAAGTTATTACTTTTCTTTCCATTCCTTTATTAAAGTTTAATATAGTATTAGAGCGGTTGTTTTAAAACCAAAAACCAAGATATCAAAATGACAACAGCAAATTCTTCATAACGCTGCAACAAAATGATAATCCTGAAGTTTCTCTAGTCACATATTTGCTGAAGTAAGACAATTATGCAACATGGTGAAGGGCCATGACAAACGTCTTGTTGGCCAAAGACAAGTCTAGCTTTATAGATGGTAGTCTTTCACGATCTGCAACCAATTCTACAAATGAAACTGCGTAGGTTAAAGGAAATTCTATGGTGTTCTCTTGACTTTTCAATTCACTTCATTTGTCGCTTCATGATAGTGTGGCTTTTTTTGACACAATAAAAGAACTCTAGGATGATTAGTCGAAGCATTTTTCACAAGGGAATGTTGCTCGAGTCCACAACTAAAGATGGAGATTGTGAACACTGAACAAGGTGTTCAAATGATGGTTAGCTATTGCACCAAATTGAAGGGATTATGGGATGAACATACATCGTATTCTCCATTGCCAAAATGCACTTATGGTGCTTCCAGGGAATATATAGCAACAAAAGACAAAGAAAAAGAAAAAGAAAGGGTTCATCAGTTTCTTGTGGGACTGAATGACAAATTCAATGTTGTTCGATCTCAGATTTTGAAAACATAACCTTTACCAACTCTAGCACGTGTGTATGGATTAGTTACACAATAGGAACGACACCAACAACTTTCTAAGAGCAAAGGGAATAATTCGTTGGAGAAGGCGACATTTGTAATTTCCAAAGGAAACAAGTTACAAAATTCTCGGCTAGGGACAGGTAAATGAGATGTCTCTAAATTATTTTGTGATCATTGTAAACAACCAAGGCATGCCAAAGAAACTTGTGTACTACAGGACCTAGCCACGAGTAAACTGATTAGAATGGGTAAAATGAGGAATGACCTTATTATTTCCAAGATTTAGCACTAATTTCTACTTTTGCATCATCAAATAAAGATCAGATTTTTATGCACCAACGTCTTGGTCGTGTTTCTTTTCATCACTTGCCTCATATTTCTGAATTTCCATCTTTTAATTTCAATGATTTTGATTATTGTTGTGATGTTTGCCATCGAGCTAAACAAACTTAGCAACCTTTTCCTATTAGTTCTATCAAAACCAAAAAAGCATTTGACTTGATTCATTGTGATTTATGGGGTCCCCATTATACACCTTCTTTGTTTAAGTTTGATTATTTTTTTTTTACTATCATTGATGATTTTACAAGAATTATTTGGATATATTTGCTTAAATCTATGACTGAAATTTCTCATATTTTGATTCCTTTTCTTGCCATGGTACATAGACAATTCAATCGTCTCGTAAAAACCATTTGTAGTGACAATGGCACATAATTTACAAATATTTTTCTTCAACAAAGTTGTCAATGAGAAGGGATTCTCAATCAATTTTCTTGCGTTTCTATATCCCAAAAAAATGGTGTAGTAGAACATAAGCACAGACATTTACTTGATGTAGCTAGAGCCTTAAGGTTACAAGTTGGTTTACCTATTAAATTCTAGGGGGAGTGTGTCTTAACTGCTGCTTATTTAATAAATTATATACCGTCACCACTTCTATCTAGAAAAAGCCCATATAAGTTGTTATTTTCTTCTAAACCTTCTTATACTCATATACGTGTTTTTGAGTATTTGTGTTATACTTCAGTTATTCCATAGTCTCGTGATAAATTTCATGATAGAGCCATAACTTATGTCTTTCTTGGTTATCCATATGGTCAAAAGGGTTATAAGGTTTATAATCTTGAATCACATAAAACTTTTGTGTCATATGATGTAATTTTTTATGAGAAAATTTTCCCATAAAGAAAACATTTCTTCACAACCTAAAGTGCTTTTACCATTACCCATTGATGACTTCTTATAATGATATGTTTAGCCACAATAATATCGTGTCTTCTACACAACCACAAAACTCGCCACATGTTCCACCAATTACCAATGATCCGCCACCAGTATCTAGTATACCACCTATTGCACCATGTGTTTCAAGCTGACTCCAACACTCTAAAGTTCAACCACCTCGCTATAAAGATTATGAACTCAATTTTTT